TACAAGATAAAAAATATAAAAATAATAATTAATCTTCTTTTATAGAAATTCTAATTCCGAGCTCATCAAGGGAAAATGAATTAAAGCTTCTATATATATGTAATGGAATCCGTCTTAAAGTTTAAACACGTAAATGTAGTTCAGCAGGACATTTAAAGGGCCCCCTAAGCCTTCGGGCCCCTATGCAACGGCATTCCTTGCATACCCTTATTTACGCCACTGGCTATAGTAACAGTTATATATATATATATATATTATCTCTAAAACTTGTCATTGCCTGAAAATGGGCAATAATATCTAACATAAATATGTATATTAGTGTGTTGTAATGTTGTGTACAGTATTCATGTATCAACTGTTAAATTAAGTTACATAGAGAGCATCTTAAAGAAGGTTAATTCATTAAATCTCTTGGTGACTTATTGATTTTTTTTTCTGCTTGTTTACAAGTGGAAGATAAAATTAATAGCAAAATAGTAAGTATTATTTTAGTTTAATTATATGTATATGTTTAATACTTTTTTATATTAAAAAGTTGATATTTTATTATTATTATTATTATTATTTATTATACATTTCATGCCTGTGAAATGTTTGTTGAAAAAAATTAAGAGTTTGGGAATTGTTTTGTTTTCCATTAGGGGTATAAAATGCTTTTCTCACAAATTCGTGTGATTCTTAGAGCAAGATTAAGTTAATGAAATTCGTTTGCAACTTTCAATTTCCCGTTTTAAAAAATTTATGAGATCTTATAAATTAAAATTTTCTTCATCTGCTTTCTCATGAGAAAAACCAGGTATTATATCCCTAGGAATACATGATTTTAATTAAAGGATAGAGTAAACCATATGATGCAGTTTTGATTCCTAATGAATTTATTGACCGTACTTGTAGCTTACAGATATATAATTCTCTCAAATCATGGATATCTCTCAAGCGTCGAGCAGGTTAAATTTAACAGTTTATGCTTATAAGAATTAATAAATAGATCTTTCCAAACAAATCTTTCCTGAAGAATTTTAAGCGCTTCATAATTCTCCGGGAGGGGTGGGGTAATGAAAATATTTTTGACAGTTTTTAAAGCTGCACCACCTAATAAATTAAACGCAACTTTAGATAACTCGTCTTTTAATACCATATCAAAAGTATTGTAAAATGCTTGCGAAATTCAGGATTTCCATAAAATTTATCAATCGTAAATTTTGGCAGCTTAACACTGTAATCAAGGTTTCTTTTAATAACACCAGAAATAATAAGATACATTACTGTTTTCATGAGAACCATTAGAAACTAGTAATTTGTTAGCATTTCCTTTTTGTTTTAATATTTTTTTTTTTTTTTTTTTTTTTTCCATTTCGCAATCTTTTCTTTGTATCCCAGGGCACTTTCGATTTCAGCTTCAGTGTCATTTACATCGGTTAAATTTCTAATTTTTTCAGCTAATGTTTTCAAAGAAGCGGCTTTTACTATTAAAATTCCTAATTGTTCTTCCGTATCTTCAATATTACAAGAAGCAATAAAGATTCGATGGAACCTGTTAGTTTAGTTAGAAGAGCTGAACGAATAACTTTCCATTTTTTCTAAGTTTCGAAAGCTCTGCTTCAGCAATTTCTGTTGTAGCTAAACTTAAGTTTCCAACAGAATAAATTGAACAAGATAATTCTTACCTTTTCTGAAGAATCACATATACTTGAATGGTATATTTGTATGAGATTCTGGTAGCATTGGTTTAAAACGGGAGGATTTTGAGAAAAACCAGCAAGATTGGAGGTGATGTTCCATCTAGCCGAGGGAACCATGCCCCAGCTACGCAGAACACTTTGCTGAAACTTTGCTGAAAATGTTTCGTTTGCGGCTGTGCCCTGCGTAGAGATCAACCAATCAGACGAAAGTTCTGCTTATGAAGGATCATGGGCAATTTCTAGTATCATAGTGGCTGTAGTTTGACATCTTGGATGATAGAAATAGAAGCTTATTTTATTGAAGAAATACGAAAAACTTCAGAGTAGACAGTATTTTATGACATTCTTGTACTTTTGATGATTTGTTTACAAATTTTTTTGTTGCCGAACGTTTGCCAAATTTGTTATATTTCATACTGACCTATAGCATAGCATGAAGAAATATTATCATTATAATATATTTATAGAATTTTGTTTTATTAAATGTAAGGTGATTATTTTTTTAAAATCTGTTTATATATGCACAACATAACTTTTTTACCAATTACTTATCATTTAAATTGTTTATTAAATAATCAGCAACATACTGTAAACAATATAAAAGGTGCATAAAAGGGAAAGCATTACTTATGTAATAATGAGAATACTCATTAAATTTGTATGCTATTATTTTTATGTTATTAATAAAGTACTTATTACATTTTAAATGCATTAGAAACTATACTTTTAGTGTAAATGCTATATATTGAAACATTTGAAATTTATGGATTTATTATTGTGCACGCTGAAAAACATTTGTACATACATTTACATATACATAGAGAGATACGACGGTTTAGAAGTCGTTGATAGAATGAATATATGTAAACATTTGTACATATATTCATTCTATCAACAACTTCTAAACTGTCGTATCTCTCTGTATGTATATGTAAATATGACTTATTAGATGTGTATTTATATGTATATATGGATATAAAAATGAACATTGCCAAAAAGTTTATTTGAAGTCATTTCTAATTCATATAATGATCATGTAATTGACAGCAACTGTGCTCATCAGTTCCTTGCACATTATCCTGGCTATGGAATACACAGTTGAAAAATAATTGATGAGCATAGACACGAAAGTGTGTACACTTTTTGCTTTTGGGATAATACGTAATTATATCCTATGTATGATTTACACAGTATGATCATGCCGTATGAATAACAAGGAATTCAACAGCTATGCATTTATAAAACATTTTATCACTTAAAACACACAGTGCGCAACTGATTAACACTTTGATGCGTGTTTACTTAAGAGATAATATAATACTTTCTCATTATGTGCACCTTCTGATTTCAGGAGTCAGCAAAATTAATGTATTTTCGATATATTATCGAGTTTTTATATGGGACAGTAACTAACTCGCGCATGTTTGTATTTATATGCTTTATTTAATCTTCTTTTTGCTGAACAGTATCTTCTAGCTCTGAGGATGTAAATATCAGACATATAGATTTGTGTCTTAAAAAATTCCTGTTTTTTATGCTTTCCATCTCTTTTCTGTTATCTTCCATAAATAACAAGCAAGTTTAAAATGGAAAGAGTGTGAGTGATACAGAATACAACACGGAATTTGAAAGCAAAAAATCTCTTTTACCAATCTGAGCGATAATTGATTCTTGTTTGGCTTTCTACTCTGTTTACCAAGTGAAGATGTTAACCCAGCTATGTAGTTTTCATAGAAATCGGAGTTCTGAGAAATGTTTCTTTCGATGCCGTGTCCTGACTAGGAATAGATGTTACAGTGATTTAAGGCATATGGAAAGGAGGGAGAAAATATCTTGTAGTACTTAGAAGTCTAATGAATGGTATTGTAGTTACCATTGTTGAATTTTCTACTATTTTATCTCCACTTTACTGGAATAGGATAAATGCAAAAAGTGATTTCATCTACCTTAAAAATATCCTTCAATTGATATCATTTCATTCTTTGGATAAATTCTTGAAACAATTTTTGATAGAGTTTTTTTTTTTTTTTTTTTTTTTTTCTTCTTGGTATGACTTGATATGCAGATACTGTAGATCAATTTAAATTTATTCAAACATCCAGCTGGAAAATAATTGCCCTTCATATTTTGTTGCACGGTTATTTCTTTTGACCTTTTCTTAATCATAAGCTCACTTACTGGAATATTTGAAGTATGATACTGATAAAAAATTTCAGCAAAATATATCCTAAATCTTGGAAAATATTTCTCTTTGAATACAAATTTGTTTGAGGTAGATCTTTCCAAGCTGACACTATTTGTTCTTTTTTTTTTTTTTTCCAGAAGCTTGTTTTCAGTGTTGGTAGGTATGTGCAGAAATAGGCGAGACACCAGAATTTCGCCATTCAGCTGTAGTTACCGTTACATTCAGCTACCGCTCTGTCCAACGTCGCTCCAATTTTGATGGAGTTGGTGGATCCTAGGATCTCTCCTCCCTCTTTCCTTACTGCCAAATCAGTGGAAGGGACTTTTGGTTTTTAGTGTCCCTATGCCATACAGACACTTTTACACTTACAAACATCCATCTTTTCTCTGGAATTCAAACTAGGCTTCAGCTATATGGCAGCCAGCATTTCTAACCACTAGTACAGGTTGAAACAGTGATAGGTACTTGTACTTCTATGTAGGCATATTAGATATCCCAAGCCTTGCTAATTTCTTTGTTTTCTCCGTAGATGGAAATCCGAGGGTATCCCACCCGCAAAATAGCCAGTTTCTTCAAAAATTCTTCTTTTATCAATTCTTTTTCTTTTTTTTTTTTTTTTTTTTTTATTTTATTTTATTTATTTATTTATTTATTTATTTATTTATTTTTTTTTTTTTTTTTTTTTTTTTAATAACAGTTTTGTCTTTTACTGAAAGTGTCTTTTATTTCGTAGACATTTTAGCAGCAAGTTAGCATCCACCAACGGGATTTCAAATGTATCAAAGTTTTTCATTTATGCGTCTTCCATTTTACCTCTCCCTCATATTCCTGTGTAAAAGTTCTAGATGTCGCCGAACGAAATATATGACATTCGAAGAAATTATTTAAGCTGCAGAAAGAAACAGCGACAAATAAATCAATGGAAAAACGACCTGTAGCCAATGTTATATGACAAAATGAAATTTTTTTAAACATAAATAGAAATGAATCCTGTGAGAAAATAATGTATGAATGTAAAAAACTTATTAATGCGAATCATACAATTGGTATTTCACTCTACTATGTAAACTTCTCTTTTTAACTATTTAATCTTATATGATATGTTGAATTGGTATTTTTCTCTCCTCATGCAGGGTTTGGAACCTCATGCTGCTGAAGTTACAAAGAAAGAACAAAAGTCTGAAACAGAAAATATTCCTGCTTCTGCTGAAATTAATAGGGTACAGAATGAGTTGAATGATGGATCTCTTTTAAGATATGATAATGACTGTTCCAGCTGTCAGTTATTTGCTGAGAATTGTAGTAATGAAGCCATAAAGCCAAGACAGGTGAATAAATGTGTCTCAAAAGTACCAGGTGCAAAACAGAATAGAAGCCATATTTTTGAGACTAAAACTGACAAATATGAAAATGTGCAAGCAAAATTGTCAGTACCTAAAGTTTCTCGGAAACGTTTACAAGTTGCAAAAACAAAATCTCAACCAAAAGTTTTTAGTTCACAGTTTGCTATAGCAGAGGATGATATTTCATCTGTTCAGCAAGTAACTAAGGGTGGGGGGTTAGCTTTAACATTAGTTTCAAAATGGCAGTATTCATTTGATTATACTGAAGCTGCTGATGCAGATTTTAATAATGATTATATTGAAAATTCTAAGCAGAATGAATTTATAAATCACGATCAAACAAAATTTAGCTCTTTTTTCACACAGAGAGATGAAAACAAAGTGTGTTTGGCCTCTAAAGGAAAATGGATGATGTCGAAAAAAGAAAACAGAGCTGTAGAAAAGTGTGCGAAACGTAGGCGTCCAGTACGGCGTTCTGTATCTCATCCAGCCAAAATTCCACCAAATGTGACAGTTAGAAACAGTCTGAATGATTATAGTAATGGCTGTGGGTTTCTTCGTATAGGTGGTTTGGACAACAGTGGGCAAACACCTCAAGGATTACCCCGCTGCTGGAGTTGTCCAACTATATCCCTTTTCATTCGATCACATTTAAAGCCACCTTTGAAGCAGCAGGCGTCATTTGATGAAAATGTGTATGAAGTTGATGTCATGAGAAATGTTGCAGCAAAGCAAGGTGTTAAAGAAGAGATTGTGTCTTCTAGTGATGAAAGAAGAACCTCTTTACCTCATATATCAATTACTGATGTTCAAACTGAAAATATCGAAACTTCATCTATGTCATCTGGAAATAAAACTGTTCCTGATGTTTTATGGAATGAACCTTTAATTCAAGAAGTAAATAATGTTTGTCATAAAGAAGAACCCAAAATTAGTTCTAAAGACACTAACACAGGCTGTATTAATCATCTTCAAAGGTCAGCAAGTTTGTGTCAGAAGGGTATTTTAAAAAATGTATGTGATAAATACAAAACAAATCATAAAACAGACGGATTAAGACTACGGAGAAGTCGTTCAGGTCCTAGTGATATGTGGCAAAAAGGAAAAGTTACCAATGTTTCATTCATGGAGAAAAAGTCTGATCCCTTTGTTTTGGCTTCTAAAGAGCAGCATCGATCAAACGCAGTTGTTCCTCAAACCAAGAATTCCATATATTTGAATGTTTCTTTCAATAATCAGCTTCATGCTGGAAAGAAAAATAATGTAATTTCCGAGGGAAATTCGTCAACTGCTTTTCTGAACGAAGTGAGAGATGTTATTGAGAGCACTGTAAATGAAAAAATAATTGGTAAAAACTCTTGCCGGAGTACTTTTTTTCAAAATTACTTCTCTCTAGATTTAGAAGAAAATAACAACATGACACCAAAGAATATGAACAATCATTGTGAATGTCTGAATGATTCACCCAAACAATGTTCCAATTTATTTGAAAAAAATTGTAGCTCTGAAAATATAAATAATCTTGAACATGCACCTCAACAAATGGATATGTCTTTAAAGAATATTCAATCTCCAAAACAGGAAAGTCTAATACATCCTACTGAACCTTTTACAATGGAAAGCTGTTCTTTGTCTAATTCAACAGAAAAGATGATTAACATTTCAAAAACTCTTGAATGTCAAAAGGAAGCATCTGAAATTCCTGTTCAGTTACTGAAATTCAAAAATCATGAAACCGCACCTATTCCTCAAATCATTTTATCAGAAGATGATGCAGTATGTGAGAAAGATAACATACAACCTTATTCTGTGAAAGAACATGAAACTGTAAATAATATTTGCATAGAAAATGAGCATTCAGCCATTTCGATAAAGCAAATTTCTAATTTAAAGGGCAGCATAGGTGAATCAGTTTTTCAGAATGAGAATCTGATTGTTACCGAGCAGGAAAATAATTCAATCTCTTCGTCTTCATTTGAAAATTGCACACAGAATAAAGATACAAAGCCTGTAACTCGTAGATGCAGGGAAAACCCAGACTGCAAATATGTGAAAGATGAAAGTGAATTGAAATTAAATTTCTCTAGAAGACGGCAACGACCAGTATCAGTTGCCTGTTCATCACACTTACCAAATCCATACATTAGCAAACATTTGTCAGATTTCCCTTCACTGACAAATGGCAACGAGGACGATAACATAAATAGATTGTATCAGAAGGATTCCGAAATGACAGAGCTCCCAAATGAACTGAGTTTACAAAGAGTTTCTTCATTGCCATCAGTCCCATTGCTTAATAAACAGCTTCCATTATATTTCCAAGATCAAGTTAATTCATCCATTGTTTGTCAGAAACTGCCAACACCACCACCAGGCGAACCTCCTCTAAAGTACTGTTTACCTTCCAGGTATGTAGGATTCCTTTAATATGTAAGTTTAAAATGGGTCTTTGTGCCATTCTTCAAAATTTTTAGTTTTTTCTTTTTATATTATTGTTTTCAATGTGGCTGTTTAATTTTAGATGCTAAAGTTATAAAAGTTGCTGCTGTGAGTAGGTCTTTTTCATTATATTTTCATCCTTGTCATTTAAAGTCCTGAATTTCTTGTTGTTTCTGTTCTTAATATAATTCAGTGACTGTGTGTGTAACATATTGTCAGATGCATTAATTTGATGTATTAAAGTGAAAAGTTAAAGAATAATGAAGGGAGGAAAATAAAAATCACTTCTCCCTTGAACAGTTTTGCATAAAATTTAAATAAAATACTTCTTTTAGAATGCTGCAAATTAGGAATGTGTCAACTGAGTGTGCTGCAGAAAAGTGTTAATACACTCATAACTGCGATTGTAAATGTGTCCTCAATTAGAATAAATTTTTAAAACGGTTTGTTTTATTTGGTTTAGTTTTCAAAATAGTATGCAGTTGGAAGAATGGAGGCTGGACCAAGTTAGTTGGAGAATCCAAAGCACTAGAACTCAAATAATTCCAAAATGTGCTTGTTGTAAATGTAGTAAATCATTTTTCAAAAGAAGCTCAAATAAAACTCCTCTAACAGCTGCTAAATCAACTAAACTGAAACCAAATGCTAAATGCTACATTATGAGAAAGTCATTTGAACAAAGAATAACTGTTGCCATTCCATGTAATATAATTATCATGTCGCCAGTAATAGTAAATAGTAATACCACATTCATAAAGTCATGAAGTCTGCCAGATAAGGAGACTGATATCTCTGCCTTTTAGGGCTCACTCGCATGCAAATAATCATTTGCAGTCTTTTCGAAAGCCTTAGGTTTGCTAGGGCATGGTAAATCAACTGCCTTGGCGATCCTCTTCTGTTTTCTTACAGTTTTTGGTGTGAGTTTAGGAGCTTCAGTAGTCATTCTGTTGGGCAAAAATATCTGAAAGCTGCTGGTTTGCATCTAACCCTATATCATGGGCATGTATAGGAGTATCTCCTTTAGGTGCCAGTAATCATATAGAAACATTGGTTTCATTACCATCTCGAAGTTTAACGTAAGTATAAAGTCTGGATTAGCCTCAATGAGTTCTACTTCCTGCATTATTATCTCATGTGCAGTTCTTCATTAATACGGATTGTGTTAACCATGAAGGTAAAGAGTATAATGTATTTCTCCCGCCTTCGTGGTGTGGTGGTCTACACGCTGGGCCCGTATTCCAGAGGTCCGCGGTTCGATTCCCGGCCGAGGCGTTGCAAATTTTTCACCACTCCTGCTTTAAAAAAATAACGTAATGACTCTACAGTGGCGCCCGATCTAAAAAGGTGTCGGATGATGATGCTCCTCACCCAGGATTTGGCGATTGGGTCCCCTAAAAAAAAACCCCAGTCGCCCTTTAAAAGGGGGAGTATATAAGGTATTTCTCCCACTTTCTTGGCATGCCTTCGTGGTGTAGTGGTCTGCACGCTCAGCGCGTAATTGAGAGGTCCGTGGTTCGATTCCCGGCGAAGGCGCTGCATATTTTTCATCTTGCCTGCTTCCAAAAAAATACCTAATGTCTGTACAAGTGTTCATTGTAAGATCTTCTAACATGGATGAACATACATTCATGTGATGTGTCATTTGTTGCTGTACATAAGAGTGACCGGATAGAATGCAAACGGGCTGTAGAAATCTTTTCCAATGTTCGATAGCCATTTTCTGTAATTTTAGTGCCAGATCGATAGTTTTCCATATGATTTCATTATACCTCTTTACTTGGCCATTTCCCTGAGGAGTATATGCAGTTGGGCGACTTCTTGCTATACCAAGAGCAGTTTTAAATTTAGAGGAATAAGTTTTATAAAAATTACGAAATCTAACTTTTTCTGTCTTCTTCCGGTCCCTATACTTTATATTTAGGAAAATTTTGCATCCGTTATAAGAAGTAAAATGCAAACGGTTTGACTCCCATACGACAAAAATTGATGAGTTATTTAATTTCTGCGATTTTTGACGTCAGTATTCAATTTACACTGAGAGGTAAATTGAATATTGACAGGGGTACTAAGTAAATAAATTAGAAAAGTTCGGGGTTTATTTTTCTTCATTAAATGTCATTCAATGATTGCATTTAATGAAGGATCTTTTTTCTTATTTGTAGGGTCTTTAATATATAATTTTATTACATTTGTGCCAATAGAATTTTCAAAAAAGTAATTTATACGTTTACAAATTGAAAAAAAGAGCCTACCAGCGGCCGAGCGGTAAAGACGCTGAACACTGGTAGTTCGGTCCGAAGTTCGAATCCCGCGAACGGGCTGGCTGCATGGGAGTTTTCGTGGTTTTCCATGTGTAACGTGTATACGAGCCAGTTTCCCTTAGAAAGTCCTCCACGAAGGCACCCCTCCCTTTAGGCAGATAGCCCTCGTGTGCTTTGCCATAATTAAATAATCCCAAATCGAAAAAAAAAAAAAAAACTTATGATGAATGGTCTGAAGTTTTATTATTTTAAAGTCACAATTTCGTAATCGTACAAAAAATTACTTAAACTATAAATATTTTTCATTTTTTATTAATCAAAATAATATTAAGAGTTGGCTGCATGCCAATATAGAAGCCTCCCAACGTTTTCTGGAATACAGTTTCTAGAAGATTCCGTGAATAAGACTCCATTTTGGGAGAGGGGGAAAAAAGATATTGTTACGTTATTTTCTTCCTTCGCGTTCGTACAGGGTCCGTAGATTTGGAGTGAATAACGACGACACTTGATGAAACACACTTTATTTACCAGTTTTGTCAGGATATCTCCAAAACACGTTTTACAGTCGTCGATGAACTACTATAAACACGCTGGAACAATCAGCGACACAGCCTTCACACTGTCAGGCAATAACGGTGGAGACAGCTTCCTGCGAAGCACCAGAGGACAGCTCCCGACTCTGCTTGGTCGTTCTCGGAATTCCACGTACTCTCGAGACTGTCCACGCTACAACTCGCGATGCACATGACGACACACGAGCACAGCTCCCGACTCTTCGGTTCACTCGTTCCCGGAGCTCAACACGCTCTCTCGACGATGCACTAACCGCGATACACTAACAGACTCCTTCGGTGCACTCGACGGCCCACTCGGCACTCGCTGCCCGGCTGTCAACTCGATCGACTCCGCACGGACTGACTCGCTAGACGAGACACGCACTCGATACTAACTATCTCGCAGTGATCTGACTCGCCCTCTCGACGAGGCACACTCTCGATACTAACTCTTTCGCACTCTATGCGAGGCACACACACTCGGCCTCTCAACGAGGTAAACTAACTGACTGCGGACCAGCAGGGTTTATATAGCTTTCGGCTTGTGTTCGAGAACATTCTGGGCTAAACCGGTAAGAATTCGTTCCAGAAGGTTCTCCAACCGTCCATGGTATATCGCCAATTTTGTCTCCAAATGGGCGATTTCTCGACAAATGTGGCAACCCTGCCTTCCCTTGCCATTTTATAGCAATGTCAACCCTAAAACTGCTTTGCGGGGAAGCCATCTTACGCGTATGTTATGATTTATCTGTAGATAACTTGATGTTAGAAGATAGCTTTGAACTGTTTTGCAGAAGGAATAATGGACTTGCAATCAAACTTGCTGAGTTCAATGCATAATTTATTCCTGGACATTCTTGATACTTATCTTCAATCACACATAATTTATGAGTGTGATAAGCACCCCCACAATTTTACATGACTTATCACATCTTTAAACAATAGACATTGCAGCGAATCAAAGAGGCACACACCAGCAGGGCAAGAGAGAGAAGAAAAAGTAGGTGCGTATTCAGCAACTAGGCTATTTATACAGTTAGTCTCTTTGTTTAAATTTTGAATGGTGATTGGATAAAAGCCGTCGCATTGCAAATGCCATAATGTGGATTAATTTTCAGATTCAATTAGTTTTAAGACAGGAAGCTGGTGTAACCAAATTAAAATGAGGAATTAAAATAGGACTATTGCTAAATTAGTAATTTTCTTTCACATTGTATACCTTACACGTATATTTACATTCCGATTTAAGATATAAGCTCCAGTATAAAACTTTCTCAATAAAAATTATCGGATAGATGCTGAAATTTTCAAAAGCCGAAAGCTATGTTTGGCAGAATCGTTGTGAAATAAGCAGCTAGTTAGGTATACTTGACATCTTCAGAACTGATGTTTTAGCATGCCTGGTAACTGGGTTATTAGGAGAGATGCTAAATATTTCATCACTTCCACATTCATAACAAGCATTCCACATTTCACGAGAATAACTGCATTTTAACCAAATGTTATAATGTCATTGAATTTACTGGAAAACGTTATAAAATAGCTAGAACGCACATAAAGTAAATTTTATTTTGTCTTGTAAAAAATTAATATTACCTATTTTCAATTTTTCTCTCTGAAAATGCTCACCTTCTGCTCTCCCATAGTAATTTACCCACAGTGTCTTATTTGATAATTAGCTTATTATACCTTTGATGGCCAAATAAGCATATTCTGCTCAATCATGCAAAGCACTTTCACAATAACCTACATATAACAATACAATACTACAGAGTCTTTCTCTTAACAATACTGAAGAAAGAATTTAAAAATAAATATTTCTAACACCAGCTAACTAACAATTTTAACTGGTCCTGATCTAAAAATTAAGAATTTGCAATATTCGCTTCATCTCAGTCAAGTAATACTTATAAATTTCTAAATTCAGCTTGTGTACCGGGTACTTTTGAATTATACACATTTTACAATAGTTACTGTCTTCACAAAATTAAAATAACCTTTAAGAATTTGGCACATTTCCTTATTACATTAAATATTTTTCTCAATGCAGTAAGAGTATTTAAAAATTCAGTGAAATATTTAAGTCTGTTGACTTCTCAGGAATGACTCATTGATCGTTTTCCGCTAACTGTATGCAGGTATGTGCATTCATATTTTTATTTGCGGCTCCTTCTCCAGGTTTGATAAG